CTAACCGGCCAACAGATACTCGAGGCGATCGACGAGCCCTCGTATCAGCGCCTGGAGCCGCCCGACTGCTGTCCCAAAGAGTACTACTCATTGATGTTGAGGTGTTGGGCGCACGACCCGACCGTAAGGCCTAAGTTCGCGGAGATTGTCTCAATACTGCCCGACTGTCGCCCGGAGTTGGTACAGGCGGTCAAGACTAGTATAGAATCTCCCATTCCTACTGCCGGTGCCAAAGAGGTGCTGCCGTACAAGTCGGGCGACATTATCACCGTTTTGGACAAAAGCGGATCCAATTTAGTGGTCAACAACTCGTCGCTGAGTTTGGGCTCAAACGCCACGAGCCTGTCGTCGGCGGCCGGCGGCCACGACAGCAGCGCCGGTACTCTATGGAAAGGTATGTCGATTTGATTTACTTGTTTGGCAAACAATTCGCTTAATGATTACGTGTTTGACGTGTAGGCGCTCTGAATAGCGGCAAAACCGGTTACTTCAACCCGAGTGACTGCGTCTCATATTTAGGCCAAAACCTGCCGACCTCTTCATCGCAATCCCTGTCCACGTCTACCGGATCGGGCGGTCAGTCAACGGCGTCGACACTCGTATCCAACGCGGCGTCCCATGTCTTGCAATCGAAGTTCATTCGCGGTTTCCTCGACTCGCGGAACAGTAGCCACTCATCCACTCAGTCCCAGTGTTCAGGGCAGGGCTCGCCGTACGGCTCCCGGCGCCGCATACGGCCCGACATGATCTCGCGACCTCAGGGTGATCTCGTGCACACCGGACACGTCGGAGCGGACGGTGCGTTCTTCGGGGACGTGGCGTTTCTGGACGGGAAGTACAACCAGTTGCCCAAACAGATTGTCGCCCCCTATCGGGCACAGGACGACCAGAACCACAACCACAACGGCTGTCCACCGCCGCCGCCCCATAAGGAGAGCACCGGCTATGGCGCCGGTGGTAGTGGTAGCGGCGCTCGCCATAAATGGGCTCTCAATGAGAGGAAATTGAATTTGAAAAACGCGTCCAATTCTGGGGACAGTAGTCACGAGTACCACGAGATCAGCGATGAGGAGGACTTCGCACCCTTAGAGAGTCCACCCTTTGAGGTAAGAGTTGACCGCGTGTTAGACATCGCAGATGTTTACCACTGTTTTTGGTCCAAACGTTTAGATCCTAGACTTCGGGCCATCACTTGTGGAGGAAGTGTTCCGCGAATTGGATTCAATAAAACCGGAACTCAATAACGATATTACGGACAACGAGTTGGCCATCAATGAGACCACTGTTAACGTGAAGAACGAGGTCCGGGAGATCAACCTCAGGATCAATAAGGAGGCGCTGCAGACCTCATCCAAGGGCAAGAAGCAGGCGATGGTTAAGCCTATCTCAGCATCGGATCAGATGGAGTTGGACTCAGCCATCGCGATGGCCAAAGACATCGCCACCCGATCTATGCTTACATTAGACAGTAATGACCATCACTTAAGACTAGAATCTAATTCAATACTAATTATCTGTTGTTTTTGTGTGAATGTGTGGATCAGATGAGATGGTAGACCCGAATGGACGCCATAACGACTCCCCAAAGACACCGAATTCTCCCAATAAGAAGACCAATAAGTTTTCATTTAAGTTCACATCGAAGTCGTCGCCGAAGACAGAGCGCCGGAACTTCTCGGAAGAGACCGAAAGCATCGGTAATATCATCGAAAGCATAACACCGGCCGCGAAGGAGGCCTACATATCGCTCGTGGATAAGGGCTCCGGTCTGTCGTCGACGACGACTACCGGCGCCGCCGCTGCCGCCGACCATAACTTAGTCACAGATAACGGGGCGACCGGTGATGGCGACGACGACGCTGTCGATGGAAATCCGTTGCGAATGTTGAGGTCGGCCGGCATTGGCGGTGTGTTGAGGGCCAAAGTCCGGGGCAACCGGTCCTTCTCGCAGCCCCGGCTGCCCACCACTGCCCAGACGGCAGGCCTGGCAAGGGTTGCCTCTATGAACACCCGGTCCTCATTAGGTGAGCGACTAATGACGAGACTAAAGACCAATCGTTTGAATACTTTCTTTTAATCCATTTGTTTCGCTAATCGTATGACTTGTTTATTACATTATTAATTTGAATGTATGTTTGATTGTATAGGAGTTCCCCCACCGGTGCCCACCAGTGCGTCGACCGATGAGGTGGACAACGCCCTCCCATTACCGCCGAGAGACCGGTCGCGACCGATGCTAATGCAGCTGAAGACCCATCAGCGCCGGTATCCGCTGGTGATGCCGGTGGCCAACGGCGAGCAATCAGAGCACGCGGAAGAGCACCGGCAGCTGCAGCAGAGAGAGGGCTCTCCGCTGCGAATGCTACCGGTGCTCAAGCAGGTGTCGTGCCCGCAACCGCCCCAATCATATCTCGATAACTACTCGTCTATGAAATTATCCACTAATGACTCAATGGATGGCAATTGTGATAAAAAGTTAGCTCCAGTTCCGCCGCCAAAACCCCAAAGAAGTTACCTGTAAGTGCACCGTTAGCTCATAGAGGGATAAGGAGGGACTGGTAGCCTAGAAATCGATGATTGATTAATTTGTTAATGAATTCAGTATTTAATTGATTTGTTTTACGACCCAAACAGCGGCGACGAGTCCTTTGAGAGCGAAATGCAAAAGGCTTTGGACAGTATTCAAATGGACAGCACTTCCATCACCTCCTGTTCCCCTCCGCCACCGGAGGAGATCTCCACGAAAAGTACGCAAAATCACACAAACCATACAAATAATGACACAAAAAGCTATTCGACAACAACTCACTCATCGGGCGACTCAATGGCCACAAAAGCACTGCATATGCCGTCCAAAGTGACACCCATTCAGACAAACAGCGACTCGTATTCCTCATCAGAACACATCTCTTCATACAAACCGATGGCCACAACCACCACAACAGATAATCACATAAATAGCTACAGAAGTAGTGATATCACGACCAATGGGTCCAGTGGTAGGACCACCGCCGGCACCAGTTATAGCAGTTTTGAGTCAAGTATTGCCACCAAAAAGAAGGGCGTCGACAGCGATGAGGTGCGGGTCATGCAAAAGGTTTTGGCTAATGAGGTATGTGATCCCTGTCCACCTGTTTTGCTAGTGTTTATGGATTAAGTAACCAATGAATTGGTGTTTCTGTAGACAAACCTCTCGAGCGAAGAATGCGCTAAAATCCTGCACTCGACTGATTGGGACGTCCATAAGGCCATCAAATGTATTGTAAGTATTGATTCATAATTTCTATTGATTTGTTAATTAATGAATTAATTGAATGTTTGATGTAATGATTAAATTAGCGATTGAGACAACAGTTGCGAAGTCATGCTATCGATGTTGAGTGCGATTGGGCCGTAATGTTGGCTAAATTCAATTGGAATATACGCCAGGCCTCCAACTACCTGATCGCCACTCAGGGCGTACCCGGCGATGCCACCGAAGTCTGACACCCGTTCCCCCCACACGCATACACCAGTACAACATCCCGGCCCCAACCCACTTATAAATGCTTTTATATAATTTGAATTTCTATATCATATACGCCTCTAAAGCACACAATCGTTAGTATAGTATAGTATTCGGCCGTTTGAACACTTTCTACACATAAATCGATAGGAATTTCAGTTATGTTTTAGTAGTCTTCCGGTCAATCAGTTTATACGACATTTTATATCGACTTTATTTCTACGATACAAACATATTGTGGCCAAAACTGAACCCAAATCCCTTTCGCCTCTGTTTGGTATAGCTATACAAAGAGTTATTCCGCACAAAAACATGACATTTAATGGGTTTAAGAGTTGTTATGAATTTGTTTTGTATTGAAGTTATTGTGAGAATCCATTGAAATGTATTAATTGACTCCAATTTTGAGACTTTTTCACACTTTTTAACAATTTTGACGCAAAAAATAAGTATTTTAAGCCATAGTATCTCCAGTCATAGCCAGTGCCCATTGGTTTGACGTAAATATCAGGGATATTGAGGATATTGACTATAAAATTAATTGCAAATTGTGTTCACATTATGTTTATTTTTGCAGTTTTTTGTGCAAAACCTTTATTTGAATTGATTTCCTATATTGCAATCATTAACTATTAAGTATAAAATCAAAACTAATTTGTTTTCTAATCACTTGGAGAAAAACAAATTCAATCAATACTATCGACTACCTGTCCCCCCGTTTGATGGCAATTAATATAAGCACTAAAACTAATTATTTATTTATGAGTTTTTATACGATTTTTTGTATCGCTATTAGAGATCTAATTATTTATAGCTTTTTTAAATGATTTTTTACACAAATCACTAGTCGTTTATAATTAACTAATTTTTTGATAAGTTTTGAGCAATAATTCATTAACTAAAATGAATATCAGTTTTTCGTTTGTGAGAAACTTTTGTAAGTTTTTTTATAATTTTTGTACAGATTTTTGTGCCAATCTTTTGGAAATATTAATAAAAGTAAAATATTAAATTAAATGCTTTATTTAAATTTTATAATACGTCTATGTGTGTGTGTGTGTGTGTGTGTGTGAGAGAGAGATAAATTACATATGTATATGATTCTCACGTATAGAATATTCTTATTTATATAATAGTAATTTTGAAACATTAAAACACTAATTATATGAATCAATAAATTGTCAACAAATTTACATATAATTGATTGATAAGAGACTGAGACAGATATAGACAGACAGAGGGAAAGACCTATTATCTACACGCGCCGTCCAGTGCTTTGGTATTAAGCTGACGTTTACTTGAAAAATAATTTTCGATTTATTATTGATTAGTATTTAAAATTAATTGCAATATTTTGTTATTTATAATAACTATATTCAAGATCTAAAGAAGAAATGCTAAAAAATATTGAAATCTTAATAAATTAATGAATATATAGACAACTATTAATAATATTATATACAGTACTTGTGTATAAAATAGGCTGTTATTAAGAGCCAAACACCAGATGATAGCAAACAAAACATTTTCACACAACTAGCGATAGAATGGAAAAAAATTAATTAAATATTTTCTTATATAAAATAAATTTGTATACAAAATATATTTTTTATATAAAGTCTTAAGTTTAATGGTTTTTATATATTAACCCAGAATTTCATGGAAATTAAGAGATTTAAATACAATACAGTGTATAAGTATTAATGGAGGACCTAGGTTAGATTAATTCACTTATATTATACTTAATCTTATTTACTTTTACATTACATTTATTATAAAATTTTATAAAATTTTTTAATAATTCAAATATAACTTATAAGAATGTATGTTTATAAATATTAAGACAGTATTCTGACCTTGCTTGCTAACTCCCTGTGCTGCCCTGGGGGTTTCACATTCAATTCAAAACCCCATGAATTATTATATATTTATTTAGCACAAATATTTTATATAATAGATTTCCATATAAACATATATTGAAAACTATTTCGTAAACACAGAATAATATCTCGAAAAATCAAATAAAACTAAATTATTTACAGAATATTCTCGTTTTGCAAAAGCTCTTCATATTCTGTGTTTACAAACCCACTGAATATTCTGTGCTTTTTTCAACAGATGTTAACACCGGATAAGTACCAAAACCGCCATTTCTTGGACCAAATGTGGCGTAAATTCATGAAAACATTTTTGAAGTCCCACTCGAGGACTCAGCTACTGTTCCGGGTACTCATATCACTGGTATGTCTGTCCGGTTTCCTATACCAGGCCAACGAAATCATATCGCAGTACATGACGGGCCGTACGTTCGTTAACATTAAGATCGAGCGCCTGAAGGAACGACACTTACCGGCCATCACTGTATGCGCGCCGGGAGTCCTATCGTGGGCGGCATACATGTCCACATCATCCGAGTTTACCAACACTTCTGAACCACTTGCAGACAATTCAACCACTTATTATAGATACGTGAATAACATTATGCACCATAAAAACATTAGCCTGGATGATTTCTACAATCGCTTGAGCATCAGTCTGGCTAACCATAGCCAGGGTCATCATATCCGAGAGTTCGACGACCACGTGGTTTACGATCCGAGTCCTGTGGAGACCATACTGTCCAACCCGGTGCCCAAGAAGTGTGTGGCCTTTTTCAGTGATTACAACCCCTACTGGAAGGGCTTGTATACCGAACAAAAGGTGATGGATATTCGGATTGAGCCTGATGAGAACTGGTTTCCACCAGGGTTCAATCACTACTCGCTGATACTGCACTCGCCGAACGACATACCCCTCTATAAGGTGGAGTACTATCAGGAAATACAGATCGGATACTACCATGAGTTCAAATACTCGGAAATTGAGACACAATTGTTGCGATCGCATGAGACATGTCGTGATTATGGCACTCATGGGTAAGTCACCACTCATTTCATGTGATTTATTATTAATTTGTACTATAATTGGTAATTATAAAATTATTCAAGATACTAAGCGTTATTTTAGTTATTAATTCTAAAATAATTTTAAATAATGCTAGCATAATTGACATATTAAATTTGGTGAAAGTTTAATGTAAATGTCAAAAAAATTATTTAGAAGTAATGTTTGTTTTGTATAAACTGTAAATTTGTCAACATTTTATACACAACATTATCAGTACTTTTAATATTATTATAATGGCATAATGCAAACCCTCTTATTTATTATGTTAAGTAATTATTTGTCATTTAAATAATATTTTAAATGAACAATTATAATATTCTTAGTCTTAATGCTATTGTAGCTAAATATAATTACTTATTTTAAAATTAATAATTAAAAATACATAGTGTATAACTGTAATACATAACTAATATTATTTTATTAAAACTGTAATTTAAGGGAATAGACTAGCCTGAGTATTGTCTTTAATTGGAAAATAAATTTTATGGTATTTTAATTTTACATCATTGCATTATTGTTGACTTTTAATTTTAATTTCATTACACTTACGGTAATAAACTTATGTTTTATTTAATACTTCTATAGAAAATAAAATTCATTACTATAATTAGTATTTAGGTAGACCCCGAGATAAGGTAATGTTTTCTCATGCACCGATGAAAACCTTATCTCGGGGTCAGACTGTATAATGGATTACAGCGAATCATCTTTTTTATTATGTTAAGTAATTATTTGTTATTTAAATAATATTTTAAATGATAAATGATAATATTCTCAGTCTTAATGCTATTGTAGCTAAATATAATTATTTATTTTAAAACTAATAATTAAAAATACATAGTGTATAACTGTAATACATAACTAATATTATTTTATTAAAACTGTAATTTAAGGGAATAGACTAGCTTGAGTATTGTCTTTAATTGGAAAATAAATTTTATGGTATTTAAATTGTACATCATTGCATTATTGTTGACTTTTAATTTTAATTTCATTACACTTACGGTAATAAACTTATGTTTTATTTAATACTTCTATAGAAAATAAAATTCATTACTATAATTAGTATTTAATGCTTACAAAACTTATACAATGTACTAGGTTTAATTTTAGCTATAAATTATAAAATAATTTCTATATATTAACGTAACACACATGCATGTATTAATTGATAAACTTGATTGCTTAAGTGAAAATGTCAAAATAATTAGTTAATCCACAGTATATTAATTAATATAGTATTTGATTTGTAAAGAGCTATAAAAAAATTATCAAGGCTATATTATCGTGGTAACGAATAAATTTAGTATGACATGTGACCTAAAATTTATATATTTATTGTAAAATTATTACTAAATTTTATTATTTTAAATAATCATTATTTTAATTATGAAAATTTAGTTTGCAAACTAGATATCTAATTACAAAATTAAACATTTTATAAGCTGTAAATCTGTAAAAATATAATTAATAGTATGTTATGAATTTTGAATAACAATTCATAATGGTTAATATAGTACATATATGTGATCAATATTTAATTTTAATTTATAGTAATTATTTAAATTTTGAGTAATTATTAATAACATTCTTTCAATTAAAATGTATGTTTACTTTTTAATATAAAAATAATTATTTTTAAAATTTTTCACAGTAATTTATCTAGTAACTGTAATAAACATTTATTTCGTTAATTAGTTATACAATTAATTGAGCATACAAGAATTTTGGCTTTAATTACAAAAAAATGATATAAAACTTATTTTAAACTAATTTTCAAAACTATATTAACAGGGAATACAAGACTCGTAACGATTGTGTGATTGACTGCCTGTTCGGTAAACTTCAGGAAAGTTGCGGCAAATTATGCTTCAAATTCCCGTTCGAGACGTTGATATTCAGCCGATTCTTTCGACGGCAACACTTCGACCACCAGCTCATCGACGACCAGTGCGCCGACTATCAGGACCAGTGGTACCGGTGCTCACCCGACAACCTCACCCTCACCTACATTGACGAGTGCCACGAGTGCTGCTCCAGACACTGTTCAGACATTATATACGTGTTTAATATGGAGAAAAAGACCAAGATTAATACGAATAGCATACACGTGCAGATCAGACACGGCATACAACCCGATGAGCTCATTGAGCACATACCTAAAATGAGTTTCATGTCCCTGGTGTCCAGTATTGGGGGTCTCATAGGCATGTGGTTGGGTGTGTCCCTGTTAATGGTGCTTGATCATGTGGGCACCTGTATCGCCACGTATATCAGGCCTAAGAGTGACGATTCTGTTGTTTAGTTATGTTTTATACATTGATTACGATATATCTCGGAGTAAATGTAGTTTAGGTTTATTGCATGCAATTCATAAGTGGTATAACACACGTGTACATTGAAAACGTCAATTCACCATGGTCATCACGTTAGACATAATGCACAGAAAAATTATAATTTTAATGCATTTGATTTAATTTGATGTTAATTTTTATTATAATATTAATTATGTCAACATTTATAAAATATGAATTTATAATAAAATTAAGTTTTGGTTCAGAAACTAAAAAACATTTATAAATATCTCAACTCGAGTTTCGCCAATAATTTACACATTTATTACACAAAACAATAAGTTTATTAATATATTTTACAATACAGTCTTTAAATTACAAAACAATATATAACTTATTTAATTTAAAACAATTAAATAGACCCCCGATTACAATATAATCACAAATAATATTATAAATTAAAGAAATGCCTATTAAATCGTTGCCTATAATTATGGTGCCTATGGTTGGGTGCCTTTTGGTTAGGGCTAAGTATGCATTGCACCAGGGCAGGCCAGTTGCACACTTTGATGGAGTCGTCCCACGCGGTTCCCGGTGCGCAATCCCGTTCCCAACTGCGACAATAGGCCCACTGCCAGAATTTGCGACAATTCTGGTGTGCGTACAGTCCGTCCGGTAGGCATACCGGCGATGATTCCGACTCAGTATTGGTTGTCTCGGACTGGGATGTGGTGTCTGTCTCGCCGACAGTTGTGGACTCACTCGACGGCCCAGTAGTGCACTCGACGACATCAGTCGTGACGGTGTCAGCAGAAGTGGTCGTCTCTGTCGATGGCTCTGTAGTAGTGGTGGAGTCCTCAGTACCGGTAGTCGATTGATCGGACTCAGTGGTTGTACTCTCAGCACCGGTATTCGTAGTTGAATTTTCTGTAGTGGTTGTCGTTTCGGGAACAGTTGTTTCATCGGAGGTAACGGTTGTAGTAGTAGTGGTCGCTTCAGTAGTAGTAGTACTACTACTAGGGGTAGGCAGTATACAGCCAACAGGACCCGGATTAGGTGTATATTCGCACTCTTGTGTGTCTACATCCCAGTACGTGGTGTCCGGACAGGCCTTGTCAAAGGGCTCGCAGTTAGAGCAGTGCCAGAACCGGGAGCAGTCATCCGAGTTAGTGAACATACCGTTGGACTCCGGACACAGGAATGGGTAGTCGTTTTGGTCGTAATCCTCTTCGCATACATTTTCCGACAAAAACCTCAAATGTTTAGCAAATGAGCCGCTTGTTAGGATTAATGTGAAACCGATTAAAATAAATGCTTTCATTGTTTTGTGTCCAGAATTTTCGTATTACTTAACACACGAAATAAAAACTTGTTTTTTGAATACAATTCTTGTGACTAGACTTGAGATCTAATGGTTTGCAACGATATTCTGTTCGTATATTTATGTGCTTCACATTTGCGTACTTTCATACACAATATAACTTTAATATAGGGTATCACCAGGGTATAACTGGTAATTATGGAATAACAAATTCTTAACATGGTCGTAATCACAAAATACGTGTATATATTTCTTTGTGCAAAGTACTATAACTTTATATCATTCATTCTAATGTAATTGTATATATTCTGTATTTTGTGAATGACCCCGCAAGTAATCCCGTAGATCCTTGTGAGGGAGGTATAGGGTTTTTATGACAATGAGACTTATAAACCCTACTTGCCTAGTATCTTTTTTCTTGATTTTATTTTGCATTCAGCGATAAGATATGACTTCACATTACGTTTGTTTATAAATTTACAATTTTATTGCACACGAGATAAGAATATTCTGTGAATAAGTCATAAATTATATCAATTTTACGCAATTCTGGTGACGATTCGCATGTGATATACAGTGCTTTAGATCCGTTTACATCAC